AGTTCCATTGGGTCAGGATACACCACCATCAGACAAAAACAGATGGACTTAGTCATACATTTTTATGGGATTTTAAGTTTCCTGAAACATTGGACCAAATTCATCCTGGGTGTAACTGACTTTCATAAATAATCGTTATTCTATTTATTGGGCAATCCCTTTCTCTGAAAATGTGTGATGCACACAACAATCCAAAAATACAACAATAATAATAATATTGTACACTCAGCAAGTGTTTTTCATCCCAGCATCAAAATATGCTTCATGAACCTTAGCAAATACAGCCTCACAGCATGCTTTTGATATAGTCAGTAGACGTGGTGTGACCTGTCAAAGGTCACACAGGAAGTCTGTGGCAGTGCCAGGAATGGAACCAACAGCTCCTGTGTCCTGGCCCAGTGCCTTAATCACAAAACACTCTTTACTCCATTTATGTTGATAAAACTCCCTTGATATGGTAAAAGACACTAGTGCCTAGGGCATCTTAGCACTACTTAATATCTTTTTAGAGAACAACACAAAGGCTAAGGTAGACCTGCAGTGGTGGCTCATTCCTTAGTCATTGGACTGTCACTGAAAATGTACATTAACCATTGGTTCAAGATGAGATGATGGTACCATCACATGGTGGTTTGAGAAATAGCTTGCTATGTCTTGGAAGGACAGTAAATCAATAGCAGATCTTTCCGATTAGTGGATTCCAGTCCACATGAGCAAAGTGAATCTGTAATTCTTCTGATACTCTCTTGGCAGAATGTAAGGCTGATGTTACGTGTTCAGGGAGCAGAGATGTTGCTACATTTTGCACTAGTTGAAAGCAACGGAATGACTTTTGATTGTAGCTTGAAGTAGAGGGAATTGTAATAGTCGAGTCATGATGGATGAGATTTTCAAAAGTGCTCGGTATTGGCTTAAATCTGCTCCCTTTCAAGTCAATGTTGCAAAACTTTTGAAAAGCCCATCCAATCTGACCTATACTGTGAAATACACTGCTTTGAAAATACACAGTTTTGCTTTTTACATAGTTAAAATACGCTAGTTACATGTTGAAAATAACATTGATTATATTTTCCAGATTCTTTTTATAAGCTTGCTATAACCCATAAATGTTCTTTTCTCTATGCATTATTTTCCTTTTACTCCTGTTGAGTCACAATTAGAAAGAAACAACATTATTTAGTCTGCTTACATAATTTAGTCATCAAGTCTAGATGAATGAGATTTATTACGATATCTTGAACAAAGAATTGTTTATATTTTCTGTTTTGATGCTTAGAATGACAAAACACCATATGTGAAAACTAGAGCTGTCAAGCAATTACAAAAATTAATCGCCATTAATCACGTGATTAAAAAAATTAATCGCGATTAATCGCACTGTTAAAGAATAATAAAATACCATTTATTTAAATATTTTTTGATTTTCTTCTACATTTTCAAATATATTGATTTCAATTACCACACAGAATACAAAGTGTACAGTGCTCACTTTATATTATTATTTTTATTACAAATATTTGCACTGTAAAAAATAAAAAAAAAAATTGTTTTTTTCAGTTCACCTAATACAAATAATGTAGTTCAACCTCTTTATCATGAAAGTGCAACTTACAAATGTAGAATTATGTAAAAAAACAACAACCTGCATTCAAAAATAAAACAATATAAAACTTTAAAGCCTACAAGTCCAATCAGTCCTACTTCTTGTTCAGCCAATCGCTCAGGCAAACAAGTTTGTTTACATTTGCAGAAGATAATGCTGCCTGCTTCTTGTTTATAAGTCACCTCAAAGTGACAGTAGGTGTTTGCATGGCACTGTTGTAGTCAGCGTCGCAAGATATTTACGTGCCAGATATGCTAAAGATTCATATGTCCCTTCATGCTTCAGCCACCCTTGCAGAAGATATGCATCCATGCCAATGACGGGTTCTGTGCGATAACGATCCAAAGCAGTGTGGACCAACACATGTTCATTTTCATCATCCGAGTCAGATGCCACCAGCAGAAGGTTGATTTTCTCTTTTGGTGGTTCAGTTCTGTAGTTTCCGCATTGGAGTGTTGCTCTTTTAAGACTTCTGGAAGCATGATCCACACCTCATCCCTCTCAGATTTTGGAAGGCACTTCAGATTCTTAAACTATGGGTCGAATGCTGTAGCTATCTTTAGAAATCTCACATCAGTACCCTCTTTGTGTTTTGTCAAATCTGCTGTGAAAATGTTCTTAAAATGAACAACATGTGCTGGGTCATCATCTGAGACTGCTATAACATGAAATATATGGCAGAATGCGGGTAAAACAGAGCAGGAGAATTACAATACTCCCCCAAGGAGTTCAGTCACAAATTTAATTAACACTTTTTTTTTTTAGTGAGCGTCATCAGCATGGAAAGCATGTCCTCTGGAATGGTGGCCAAAGCATGGGGGGTCATATGACTGTTTAGCATATCTGGCACGTAAATACCTTGCAATGCCAGCTACAAAAGTGCCATGCAAACGCCAGTTCTCACTTTCAGGTGACATTGTAAATAAGAAGCGGGCAGCATTATCTCCTGCAAATGTAAACAAACTTGTTCGCCTTAGCGATTGGCTGAACAAGAAGTAGGACTAAGTGGACTTGTAGGCGCTAAAGCTTTACATTGTTTTGTTTTTTGAGTGCAGTTACATAGCAAAATAAAAATCTACATTTGTAAGTTGCATTTTCATGATAAAGAGATTGCACTACAGTACTGTATGAAATACTATTTCTTTTGTTTAGCATTTTTACAGTGCAAGTATTTGTAATAAAAATAATAATACACCTCTACCTCGATATAACGCTGTCCTCGGGAGCCAAAAAAACTTACCGCGTTATAGGTGAAACCGCATTATATCGAACTTGCTTTGATCCACCAGAGTGTGCAGCCCTGCCGTGTTATATCTGAATTCGTGTTATATCAGGTCACGTTATATCAAGGTAGAGGTGTATATAGTGAGCCCTGTACACTTTGTATTCTGTGTGGTAACTGAAATCAATTTATTTGAAAATGTAGAAAAATATCCAAAAATATTTAATAAATTTCAATTAGTATTCTATTGTTTAACAATGTGATTAAAGGTGTGATTAATTATGATTAATTTTTATATCTCGATTAATCTTTTTGAGTTAATCGCGTGAGTTAACTGCAATTAATCGACAGCCCTAGTGAAGTGAAAATATGAAATACAGTATGCCATAAACTGAAGTTAATCTATGATGACAGAATTTTGAGTGAAATTCTAGAATGCCACGTAACATCTGAGTAAAAGAGCTTTATGCACGTATCCTGCTCAAGAGCTAGAAGTCTGAAATGTACCCCAACTTGAGGGGGAGACAGGCCTGGGAGCCATAGTAAATCATCTCAATATCCCTGCAATTGGTACCTCAGCCTACGGGGTGTAGTAGCTTCTGCAGTCCCTGTAGCCATTACACTCATGTAAACATAGATCCAATGGCTTGCTACTTGACCCACTCCAAATTTCCCCTTCATGCCAGCATATATGGACTGGCATGAAGCCTATATATCCTGTGCTATGTATACTAATGAATAACAAACAAAATCTAGCTATTACTACTGCATGCAACTGATTCACTGCAAAAATTAAGGATCTTGATTTTTTTGTGCTCATCTATGTGCAAACACCTAATAAAGACATTTTTTTTTTTGCTCCAACTGCGTATTGCAACCACTCATCAACTGAAATATTTAATATGCCAAAGTTCTGTGAGGGAATAAGACATATATGATATAGTTTATACAGACCCTAAATGTTAACATTATTTTTACTGACTGTGTAGGGGCCAGGTCTGTCTTGTGATGTTTTCATCCCAGTTAAGGGCCAAAGTAAGGTCTTCCATGGAAAACCCCACCAAAGTGCAAAAGTTGGGTGGAAAAGTCTATGGCTTTAAGCCTATGTAGTTTCCTCCCAGTCTTTCTGTGATGTGGTAGGGTTAGTCTCACTGAGCACAGAGAAGAGAGAATAGCCCTCTTAGCCCATGGGTGTGTGGAAAGCCAAACAAATCTCCTAATGATGTTAGGGACTTGAAGAAGGCCCACTCCCTACATGACTACTTATCCCTCCTCACCCTGTGGCCATTGTCAATTTAGCTCCCTATAGAGCCGTACTCCCATTGGTTCCCTGGGCAAGCCTGAGTTAACATGCACAGGTAGGGGAGCAGGAGAAGCCATTCACAGAAAGCAAAAGGGGCACGGACAGAGCTCAAGTGGATTCATTCAAAAACAGGAACAAACTGTGTTCACAGAACTTTGTTTGCCCAATCCAAGTCGCCAGCACTGCCAGTTCAGCTCATTTATGAGCCCTAAATTTGCATAAAGGAAAAAGAAAAATCTCCTTCCTATGGTATGTCAGACAGCTACATGTCTGAAATATGCATGCGAAAACAGGCTATAAACAGTTGTCACTGTATATTCATTTCAGCTATTTCAAATGTTTGGCCCAGATTCTGCAATCGAATTCACACAAGTGAACCTCTGCTCCTGTGCTGAGGTCCATTGACTTCAGTGATACCCCACATGGGCTCCCTGAGTGGTTCAATTTTCAGGATGCGGGGATAAGTACTTTATATGTTTTTGGAAGTATCAGAATACCTGCTCCATATTGCTGATCACTGACTTGCCAAATTTAATTTCTGAGCAATACAAGGGTAAAAGAAGCATCTTACACTGGTAACATTTGTTTTTCATATTTTGTTTATTCTCATAGTTTAAAAACAGACATTTGATTTTTGTTATTTTTATGAGCAATCACCCTCAGATTGACTTCTCATCCTGGTTTCTTCCTGGATAAATGTGTTTACGGCTGAGTTATAACTTCCTGAAACATAAAGTTTGTAATAAAAACACTGACAATGGTAACAACTGTATAATCTTCTGTTGTGGTCCCCACTGCAATAACAGAGCAAAGTTTAATCTAGCGCTCGAGACCTTAGACTATGAAATAACTGATATTTTTTTTCCTTGCAGTTTCTGCTGTGTGGCATATGTGGAATATTGTGTGCCAAAAAAAAATCTGGACTTGTCGTAAGTTTTTGCACTGCATGCATTATGCATAAGAACTTGAAATGTAAACTGCTGTAACTTGAACTCTTCACCATGGAATCATCATCCTTCATTTCCAAAATGTTGCTGATAAACAAAATTAAATGAAAAGTAAACACAGGCTGTCAAAGAAAAACAATCAGCCCTTTGGTTAGCACAGCAAAGAGAGGACATTTTAAAATGGTCTATACAAGTCATGTCCAAAAATGTAGCCCCTATAGTTATCCCTGTCTCGATTAAGAGCCTGATCCAAGTCCCATTAAGATCAATTGAACGATTCCGAATTATTTCAGTGGGAGTCGGATTGGGGCTTTTCTGACCAGGACCCCAGTCCTGCGAAGTAATACGTGTGTACAGGATTGGGCCCCAGGGTTGCTGTCCCAAATTGATCCCAGAAATTTTAGCTGTTCACTGTTTTAAATTTCAAACTGAGTCATGAATAAACCAGTTCTAAAATCATTACAGATGTTTTGTTTCATATAAGAATCTGAAGTATAATCATCTTTCTGACTGCAGACAGATGGTATAATTGCTACAAAAGCAACTGCAGAAATATTTTATCTGTTAAAAATATGATCCTATTATAAAGCCCGGTGTTAAAGCTTTATTGTTTATGTTTATTTCAGTATTAAAACTGGCTTTAGTTTTCTATAGGCCTGACTTTTCTCTTATGTACGCAAGAATGAATTGGGACTAACTCCATGGGTGTCCATGGAGCTATGCTGATGTAAATCTAGTATAAGTGAAAGAAGAATCACTCTCTCTAAGGTTATTTTTGAGAGTCAGTGAACTATTCAATTTCCTATAAGAGTGACTGTCACTTTTTTTTTAAATTCTGAGGACTACTTCATTGTGTGGAGCATCCCAACCATGCCTGATCTTTATAACCCCCATTTCTTTAATCAATTCTGGTGGTCTCATAGACCACAAGAAATAATCCCTTACTAGTGGACCATGAACAATAGTTTGAGAACTATGTTCTTGTTAAAATTACCATCCCATTGGCACGCAGCACTGGTCCATTGGGTACTGGTGGTCCATGGAGCAGTCCCAGGTACTCCACAAAGTTGCTTCCATCATTGTGGTAAAATATCTTTGTCTTCAAGCAGTGACACTTCCTGCTACTTGTAGCCCAGTTTAGATATTTCTGGGACCCCTAGAAGATCTTTCTGACCAGCTAAACTTAAAAAGTAGCACTTCACTGCACCCTGCATAGCTGCTTCAGGTTTTTCTTTGTCATTTTTTTCACTTGTTTAAATTCAACCATGATTAAATTTGCAGATTCCACAAAAGCTGCAGGAGGAGCAAACAAGGATGCCAGGACCAAACTGCAAAAATTGACCTGAAGAGATTAGAACAGGAGGGGTGGGTTGGGGGCACAGACAAGTAGGAGAGATTCAGTAACAATACCACTAAAGCACTGCACTCAAGTGGAGGAAATAAATGGCACAGATATGGAGTCTGATTCTGATCTCACTATACTTTACTGATTTAACTAAGATCAAAATCAGGCCTTTGAAGTTTAGTTTAGAGTTTTGAATATAGAACTGGAAGGAAATCAGGAGGCCTGAATCCTAGTCCAGTTCTTCCATTGATCTGCCATCACCTTGGGGAAGTCACATTATCTTGCTGTGTCTCATCTCTAAAATATGGATAATATTTACTTCCTAGACAATAGTTATGGGGGTTAGTAATTAATGTTTGTAAAGTATTTTAAATTCCGTGTGCTATAGAAGCGCTAAGTATTATTATTATAGTCAGGCTAACTTTCAATCTGAGTGAATTTGTCTGTGACGGTACTCTCTGAATAATGGCACTGTGACATTGCCTCTCTTCTCTCTCCTAACAGATGATCCTTTTTTCAGCCTGTTGCATCTGCGGACTAATTGGAGGAATATTAAATTTTCAGTTCCTTCGTGCTCTGACAAAGAAGTCCTCCACTCTCTATTCTTTGCATCTTACTTCCATGTCTCTTGCATGCATTGGAATTGGAGGTTGCACACTTTCTTCCTGGCTCACTTGCCGGCTAGCCAGCTATGAACAAAGGAGAATGTTCTCCGAAAGGGAGCATTCACTGCATCATTCCCACGAAATGGCAGAGAAAGTGAGTTGGGCGCCTTTCTTTATTTGGTCTGCTTTTCTTACAAAGCAGCTGTATGTGTTAACATATGCAATTATATAGTGTTGTAGCTATGTTGGTCTCAGGATAATAGAGAGACAAAATGGGTGAGGTAATTTATTTTATGAAGTTGGTCCAATAAAAGGTACTACCTCACCCACCTTGTCTCTCTAACATATGTAATAATTGGCAGTAAGTGAATTCAGTTTTCAACTACATATGAGGAAGAGCTTCTGGGAAATAAAATGTTACCATTCTGTATAAGCTTTATTCTGTTGCAGTATATGTAATTATTTTTAGGTGGTGCATCCTTTGCAGTACATCCATTTCAGTGAAATACATCCATTTTCAACATAATTCCATTGTATAGCTATTCAAAGGCTTAGCTTCTAAAGATAGCACCTCAAAAATAATTGAAAATCTTAGTTATATGAATTATCATGTATTGTACTGGGAAAAAAGTACAGAATGCTTTCTGCACCCACATCGTTTCCTGTTTCCAGGATTTAATCAATTCTTTCCTCTCCCTTCATATTCAGTTTAAAAAGCAGGCTATGTAACCACAAAGGCCACAGTTTTCAAACCCTAATTACTAAAGTTAAGCACCTAAATCCATATTTAGACACTTAAATAAAGGTAATCCTGTTTTCAGAGGTACTGAGCACTTACAGCTTCCACTGGTTAAAAGGATTTTTTTTTATTTAGGTGCCTAAATAGGGATTTATGTGTTTTAAATTTAAGGTTGCAGATGTTGGCCAAAAGGAATATAGGTTCTTAAAGCCATCTACTTGGTGTAAGGATATGATTCTTGCCCTGGGAGTGAAATATTCATTTTGATCCTGGGGCTTCTGTAAGGGCAGGAAGCCCTATTCCTTTCATTCAAGAGGTATGGTGTTTATAGAACCGGGGATCAGGAGTCAGGAACATGGGTTCTATGCATGCCTTTACAACTGACTCACTGGGTGACCCTGCACAAATCTGCTCTGTGCCTGTTCACCTGCCTGTATTATATATACCACCTCCCATAGAGGTACATTAATTCATATATGTAAAGCTTTGAGAGATTCTTAGATAAAATGTGATGTAACAGTAACAAATATAATAAGGGAAAATGACTACTTTGCAGTCCTATGACTACTCACTACTTTCTTAACTGAGATTAGATTCCATGCAGAACTGTAGCCGGGACTCATGTAAAAATGTTAAGAAAGTATTGCTACATTTAAAAAAAATTGCCACAATTATATATTGCTTTAATATGACTAAACTTCATTATTTCTTTTGAATTCTGTATGTAACACAGTCAAATGCACCTCCTAAATGTCCCAATAATAATAATAATCTCTAATGCAGTACTTTCTTATATGATAATACAACATAATTTGATTTGTATAGTATCCTTCATACACACTCTTTCACAAAATCTTTACAGAGTTAAATAGCGTAGGTGCTACATTAAAATAATGTACAGAGAATAAATTAAACAGGGAGAAAAGATACATTTCCAGATGAAATTTGAAACAAGACAAAGTCAACGAGGTAGATACAGGAAGACTGTTCCAGGTAGTAGGAGCTGCAAAGGAGAAGGCTCTTGCATCAACAGTGAAAAGAGGACAGAGAGGAGGCCTTATGCAAGATAAGAACAGGGAGAAGAGTAGAGAAAGACCATGCCTGAAAGGACAAATCTTTCAAAGTATATTAAGCCCAGAGCATGTCTTTTAAAACAATGGAAGACAATTTAAAAATTAATAATAAATTAGGCCCTGATCAAACAAGTTTAAAGTGTTTTATATACAATAATATTTTGTATATTTTATACTGATACAGTAGTATAGACATGTACTATATGTGCATATGTTTGTGCTATATTTATTGTATAATTGTTATATTTATATTAGAGATTGAGGGGTATTGAAATAACCGACCTGCCCAGCTGCCCGGTGGTTCCCCCGACACCAGAGTTACCTCCAAGGTATGCTGAGCTCTAGGCAGCTACCATGTTATGTTATGTCACTTCAGAAAGTCCCACCTCTAAGAGGAAAGCATAGTTTCAGCTAATCAATGTTGGCTGATGCTGTGATGTCACTCCCAGACGTACTGCATTCAGGAAAGGTACTAACAGTCAGTGAAATAATTCTACATGGTGGAGTGCTGTGATTTGGAAGTAAGTCAAGTATTTAAAATATTCACTCTAGCTGTAGACATCCAAACAAGATTGTTTGGATGTACCCACCATCAGTTCACGCCACTTCTAATTTATATGCTTCTTCATGTCTTAAATCCAACACCGCTTTTAAACTTAACTACAGTTTTATTGTTTAGAATAGAAATGTCAGGAAAATAATGATTGTGAATATTTCATTCTGAAATTATATTGAAATAGCAAATGCTGGCAATAAATTAAAGTGATAGAAATGGGAAACAGAGACTTTCACTTCATGGTCACTAGCTCACGCATAACGCAGCTGACAGAACATTACTATTATCTAGAGCAGTGGTACTCAGACCTCAGTGGTTCAGAAGCCAAATTAGTGATCAACATTATCCAAAAGAACCACAAAATAGTGTGAATTCATTGTTTCATTTACTATAGTACTATATAAGCATATTTGAACAGTATGACGAGGAAATATTTAGTTTATATTATTCTCACAGCAAAATGACTGCCCATTAATTATTTTATCAACTACAATTGGTTAATAACCTAGTAAAAGCATCCTGATTGGATATTAACTTAAATTGGTTAATAATCAATTCACACTGTGTTTTAATATCATGTGCTGCAAAGGACACATGAAAGAGCTACTTGCAGCTCTGGAGCCTCAGTCTGAGTATCACTGATCTAGAGGTTGATTGATGGCTTATGTGAAATGGCTTTGGTGACCTCAACAGACCAGTATCTACATCACAATAACCACTTCCAGAGCTCGCATTAACTGGCACCCTTTTGGGCATCTCAGCAGAGAGGCCAAGGTCTCAATGGACATGGAGACTTATCATTTCATTCATTGCCCTCCAGGTCTGAGTGGAAGCACATTGGCAGGACAGTGTGAGGAAGCTTGCACTGCTGCCATCTGTGATATGTATCTGTTCTGTGGATAAAGAATGCCCATTTCTAGGGCAGTCAGTCTAGCACCATTCGTAAGCACTCAACTCACATGAAAAAAATGTGGTGATTTTTCTTTTTTATAATGTGATTTGTTTTTTTTTTTAAAGATAAAGGTTCTCTGAATGTTGGCATTCAGGGCTTGTTAAATATTTACTAGACCATTAGTTAAATACTTTTTCAAGATCAATAAAATAATTTTAATTTTGATCAGTCCTTTTTTATTCTTGTTACAGGAAATGACAGACAATATGAGCAATGGAGGACCACAGCTGATTTATAATGGAAGAGTGTACGAAAAGATTTAAAAAGTTCAAGGAAAAAAATATTTTTACGATTTTCTTCAGGACAAACAAATAGACACCAAGAGACTGAGATGAAATGGAAACAGTCTTGGCTTTTATTGCTAGAATTTCACAACTGCAGAACAGCACAGTTGCATTTCCCTTTAGAAACATATCTGAAATTTCTCTCCCAAGGATTTTGTGGATATACAGTATTTATTCACTCCACCTCTATTCCTTTTTTTTTCTTTTTGTCTGAATAACTTTCCAGAATTATTATAGCAGCTGAGATAGACTTTTCAGTCTCTTCTTCTCATGAAGACTTTTTTAAAAAATCCCATTTAAATGGAGAGGGTTTAACCAGTAGATTGTACAGTGGAGAGAGTGCAAATTAGACTTGTAAAAAGCGTGCATTACACATGCAGAGTCCAAATGAGTGAAAGATGAGAGTGCTGAAAACAACACTGATGTCTTTGTTTTGAAAGACAGAATGCTTTAAGAATTCCATAAATCAAAACCTCAACAATGCCTTGTTGTAAAGAAATTGTAAATATTTCCAATTTGTGAATGAAGTATATTTCGTAATTTGTTCATAATAGATGACAAATAAAATGAAATCTAAAACTGAGAATAGTTTATTTTTGCTTGTTAGAAAGATCTGTGAATCTGGATCATTGTATTTGCATATTTGCACAAAATATCAAAATGTCCTTACTAGGGGGTGGAGCAGAAACAAGCTGGAAGACGGTGAGGGTGGAATGGTGGAACGGCCGGGGCAGAACTGCACCTTGGCAATTCTGCATGCTTGCAATTGCCCCTGGGGGCTATTGAAACGATGGTACATCTCAAGGCAGCACTCAGCACTAACCTATTATGTTTCTGGGACCAAACAGGTCCTCACAGACCCTTAATAGGGGAGGCATAATCTGCACCATAGCATGTGTAATAGGTGTACATATATGGCAAGCAGAAAAATATATACAACATATTTTAGAATATACATTAACATATGCAATATACATGTATACACACTTGTGTACTATACATAGACAATGCATGATTGTGTGGGGGTGACGTAAAAATCTTCAGCATGAGTTTGATATGGTACATTTATGAGTGGTGACAAAATACAAGTGAGTTATGTTGGGCTTCCCAAATGATGGCAGATGGTATTTTTATCCCACCCCAGAGCATACACTGTAGGTATCGTGTGTATTGCTGAAAATCAATTAAGAATGTGTTAGAGCTTTTAGAAATTTTATTCATGCTATTTAAAAAAAATCCCTCCTTTATAAAGCCAGGTGCCTTAGTTACCCTGAGTGCAGATATAAAAGGCTCAGAGGGAGCCATAAAAACCTCTGAAATGATGTAATATAGCTTTCTTTTATACATAAAAATGTCACAGCCTTGAAGTCTCTTAGCTTGGGATATTCTAGGGCTACACGGGAGATCTGCATTGTGTTAGAAAGTTGGGAACTGCCCCTTCCCCATGATATAAAGCTACTATTTCTAGTCCTATATTGATGAGTTATATTGGACTTTAAAGTCAGAGTGCAAAGCCCTGAGCATACTATGGATCTTCTGCACTTCTGTTGTGGTGAACCATAGATCTGCTCTAAGGCCTCAATCCCGCAAGCCCTTGTATGCATGCGTAAATGCATATGAATAGTCCCATTAAAGTCAGCGGGACCATTCATGTGCATAAAATGAAGCACCTGAACATATCTTTTCAGAGTCAGTGCCTAAATGGGCATCTCAGGAGCATCTCAGTGCAAAAGAATCCCTGGCAGGCATAGAACCAGAATAGATGGCTCTGCGGAACTCCCGCTGCACCCAGTATAAGGGGAGTTACTGGGGCATGGTAGGAGGGAGATGGAGTGTGACAGAGGAGCCTCTAGAATAGGGTTGCCAACCTTCTCATTGCACAAAGCTGAACACCCTTGTCCCGCTCCTTCTCTGAGTGCCCCCCCATTCACTTTCACTGGGCTAGGGCAGGGGGTTGGGGTGTGGGAGGGGGTGAGGGCTCCAGCTGGGGGCGTGGGCTCCAGGGTGGGGCCAGAAATGAGGGATTCAGGGTACGGGAGGGGGTTCAGGGCTGGGGCAGGGGTGTGGGAGGAGGTTTGGGGTGTGGGCTCTGGGAGGGAGTTTGGGTGTGGTAGGGGGCTCAGCACTGGGGTAGAGGGTTCAGGGTGCAGGCTCTGGCCAGGTGGAACTTACCTCAGGTGGCTCCCGGTCAGCAGCGCAGCGGGGATAAAGCAGGCTCCCTGCCTGCCCTGGCTCCGTGCTGCTCCTGGAAGCAGCCGCCATGTCCGGCCCCTAGGCGGAGGTAAGGCCAGGCGGCTCTGTGCAGTGCATGTTGCCCGCACCCGCAGGTGCCACCCCTACATCTCCCATTGGCCCCATTGGTTTTCGGCCAATGAGAGGTGTGGAGACAATGCTCGGGGCGGGGCAGCGCGAGGAGCTTCCCTGATTGCACCTGCGCCTAGGGGCCGTAGGGACATGCCGGCCACGTCTGGGAGCTGCGCGGAGCCAGAGCAGGCAGGTAGCCTGCCTTAGCCCCGCTGCACCGCCGACCGGATTTTTAATGGCCCAGTAAGTGGTACTGACCGGAGCTGCTAGGGTCCCTTTTCAACTGGGCGTTATGGTCGAAAACTGGACACCTGGCAACCCTACTCCAGAATCCAGATCAGAACTCTGTGGTGTAGGCTTGTGTCTAGTTATTACATTTGGAATGCCTGCATTACTTAGGGGCAGCAGGTTCCTAAACTTTTTAGAATCCCAAAACAAAACCAACAACCATCTATATGAAGCAGTGATGCAATGAAGGTACAATATCTTGTGAGTCATCAGAACTAGAAATAAGTGCTTTATCCCACTGGAGAGCAGCTGGGAATTTCTGATGCTATAAGGTGTTTGTTTCAATCTCTGGAAGGACATGAGATCTCAGACATTAAAATCATGCCATTATTACGAGTAGAAAAGCTATTTACTTATTTTTGGAGGTTTCTAAAAACAGAGCCACTGATCCTGAAAACACATACACACACACTTATCTTGATGCATGTGAGTAGGTACAGGTTGGGACCGTAGTTATAATTTTTCTTTCCCTGGGAGAGTTGTCCTTATACTATGGTAGCCTGGCTCTACAGATAGAGGATTACAAATAACTAATAATAGTCCCACAAAAATATATTAAAACATCTTTAAAAATTCAGGAATAGATTTTCTGTCAAATATGTCACATAAAACCAAAAACATAAGGAGGTTTTACTTATACTTTATGTATAAAGTATACTTTACTTATAAAGCTTTTATTGACACTTATTTTCCATGTTTTGCAAAACTTACTTGTGCCATTGTCACTTGAGGAGAGTAATGCAGCATACTAAACCCACGCTCATAAAACCTTTATACCACATCACATTATTGTGCATGTGGTCTGTGTGTATCTATAAATAATATATATGCACACACAATTTGATTTAGGGTGTCTTAGTATTGAATTTAAGGTGTCTAGTATCTAAAGCTAATTTTACTTGCCGTCTAATAAAATTAGTTACAAAATGCGGGCTGCAGAACACAGTGGCTGAGAAATTATATTACAGTTTTGTAATTCAGATATAATTCATAATGCCAGTACTGTCAACCCCAGGCATTCACAAATCATGTGTCAGGCCTCAAAATATCATGAGATTGGTTTGAAATGATGCAGTGTTTTTTTTTTTTTTTTAAATAACTGTTGGGTTCTTTTGATTTGCTTTCTGGTGTTTCAGCCTTTAGAATTCATGTTTTCAAGCTTTTCTCTGCACCCAAGAGGGCTAGAAGCTTTTTTCACATTTTAAATGAAAACTAAAATTCTTGTATAATCACATGACTCCAGAAGGTTAGGCTTTAAGAAAAGCACCAAAGGTTGTGAGACTCATGATAAAATCATGAGAATTGGCTACACTGTAATACAAAACCTTTAACCACAAATTATACCCTAACTAATTAATTAACTGATTAATTCTTTAAGAAAAAGCCACTTGGTAATGGCTCTGTGAGAATGTCCTGCTTATCACCTTGAAAATGATTGTTTTAAAATTTGAGCCAAATTTTCAATTGGGCCTTAACCCTGCTTCCACTAGCCCACAACTGTACACCACACTTTGAGTACCAACAGCTATGTGTGCAAGTCATTTATATACACAAAACCATCACCTTCCAGCCTGGTGGTGGGTAGTGGTGGTGGAAGATCTAAGGCCCCTAGACCCCAGAGAGCACCCATTTTCTCAAGCTTTGCACAGGGAAGGCGGTCCTAGAGGTTGTTGGCTATCTGAAGCCTGGATCCCAATCATACAATGGAACTGCACAGTTCTCCTACTTTGCAGGGCATAGGTACTTGCAGAGGTGTGTGTGTGTGTATGTGTGTAGGTTCTGGGCCTAAAAAAACCAAGCACAAAGTATAATTAAATTGCTCTTTCTTACTCTGCTGCAGAGTCTGTAGCATGTAGACAAGCAGGCCAACGACTACAATATGAGTTTTACATTGATGCCTTTTATGAAAGCCTTTTAAATGCAAAACTGGTGATCAGTAATTGACTATGTAATTGAAAAGACTGCTTCTGTCAGAGAAATACAAAGAGCTGCAAAATATGTTTAACAAGCCTTTTCCGATCATTTTTTTCTTATTGGTTAGCTCAGTTGACACTACTGACTGTGGTATGGCTTTTCAGTACATGTGATATACTAAGTAAGGCCAAATTTTTAAATTTGGGTGTCTAAAAGTTAGGCATCAAAATCCATTTTTAAGTACCTAAATAAGTGGCATTATTTTCAGTGATGCAAAAGCACCCGTAGATTTTGATGCAGTTATTCCCAGTTAACCTTGGTGTAAGAGTAGATTCAAGCCCTGATTCTGTAAGGTATATTCAACATGGAGCTCTTCCCCTTTTCACAGCAATGTAAAACTTTAGGCAAAGTTCTCAGCGCCAGGAGGGTACAGGAAGGAAAGAAAACTGTACTATATCTTTTTCTCTTCTGTACTCCAGTGACGTGTCCCATGAGGCCCTCCCTTGTATACTTATCTTGACCCCATAACGTCCCAGGAAAATTGGACTAGGATTATCCAGACAGAACCACAGTCTCTGAATAAAATACTCAGTAGATTTTATAAAATACAGTTTGATTGGAATGAACATACTAAATCTATCAATTTTTGACCTCTAAGTGTATTTGAGAGGCTAGACTGGAAAGGCAATTGTATCCCTAATTCTAAAGCTATGAAAAAATATCCACCACTATTATACTGAAAGCAGTGACCCAAGGGTGGGAATCTACAATTGCCACATTTATAGGAAATGTTATTGACTTAGAGAGGCAGTTTATTTGCCATGTAAGTGTCCTTGTAATTAATTTAGGGACAAACAAATCCCCACCTGTGGCTGTGGTGGGCTCTAGGCAATAGAATTGGTGTAGTTCCCCTTCACAAGGGACAAGGCTGGATTCCAGGGAACTATGCACCTCAACAATT